CTATTTCATCCAAGTATTAAAAGTTTCACGGAAATGAAAATAACTTTCTTAAAGCGCTTCGTCAATTTTCTAGTCTTGTACCTGCAACGTAACGATACCGTAGTGCGATTTAAAGCGTTCACAGAAGACAGACGTCCTCGACTTTCCTCCGTCTTCCCCAATTTCGTGATTCCCACCCGGCTGTGAGGGAGAGAAGGCTTGTCCCGGCCGCTTCTTTTCACGGAGGAAATTTCTAGCGGGCGGTGAAATCGATACCGCGGGAAATGAGATGATTGGATCGGACACCGGGGATGTCTCATAAAGGCTGAAGGATTCAGAAGGCACGAGAGATTGCGACGACGGTCGTCCTCGGTTATTTATGTCGATATAGAAGTCTTCGTAAATTATGGTGTCAATAGCCTTTTCTTTTACCATTCATATTATATGCTGTGTAACACAATTTTAAAGTCTGTTCAGAATTGCATTTGATCGAAAAGATATAAATAACACTTTGAACTTCATCCGGTTACAATTTAGAAATATGTTTTTATAGTAATTTCCATAGTTACAATATCTTTTAAATGCAACAAATCGTCTTTACAAAATGAAAATCAAACTTACGACGACAATCTCGTCAACATCCTAAGTTACACTATACGTCATGATTTACAATAGAAACACACGTGAAAGTAATTCAGTTTTCTATATGTAAGATGTAAAATATTGAACGTCATAAATATATATTGCTGGCCAAGGAGATGTTAACTTCATCGAATTTGAAATAATTGTGAATCCTTCAAAAGGACGATTAGGAATGTTTCAATATCCTAATTAATACGAAATGAAGACAATTGAATGAGTTGAACTGCAATTAATCAAGATTCGCTAACGTTCGATAATTCGATTCCTTGAGCGATTCAAACGGTGGAAGAAAAAAGAAGGGGTAACAGGTAAGATTTTCCAGGATTAATTCGATTACGTTGATCAGTCGATTGTAATCGAGTTCCCGCACCCAATTGAGCGTCTTACTGTTTCTCAACTATTGTCCCCGGTTAATTGTGATTTTAATTAATTCGAGTATTAGGCGGTTCGATGGGAAACGTCGGCTGTGGTTCGTTGCAGCCGGTTCGCCATTTTGCAGAACGGAAAATTTCATTATAGAAGAATCGCGGAACGAGGCTGGAAAAATGTTCGCAAAAAGAAAATTCACATTTCGTTGCTCGTGAAGTTTAACTAACCGAGGTCTACCCAACAATTTCATTTCAGCGGCGCTGGAGTAGGACTGGATTTTCACGGAAACCACCCCGCTGGAGACACTTCTCGCCCTTACATGCCGAAATCCATCTCGTTCAAAGAGGAAAATTTCCGGTGCAATATTCCTTGCTATATACATGGATGTACCGTCGCTCGTTTCCGAGTGGATCTTTTAAACGTAACATACAGAACGTGCGTGGAAAATTCGAGCTTTTTGCGGACGTGGTTAGGTATTAATATAATTGGGTATAAATAAAGTTCAGTATAAATGGTTTTAAGTATTAATAGAATGAAGTATTAATACATATATATGTATTAAGAAACTTAAGGACGAATAGAATTGACTATAATGTTAGCTACTAATCAATAAGTATCGATAGAATTAATAGAATTGACTATTAATGCACAAAAATTAGCGCAGAAACAATTGCAATTTCAAAGAGCCGAACTGAACCACGTGCATTTGTTGCATTTCACAACTACCTAACAATTCAGCAAACTATATTCGATAATGCCTTCCCAAACCTCACGGATGCAAAGTCCAAATCGAAAGCCCAACTCAACCATCGACGCAACGAAACACAAATTCACCATTAATCGCACACCAACTGGGCGCGAAAGTTAACGAGCAACCTATCAACGATCACATTCCCCCAGAACGACCGTTAGGCAGTGACACGAGGCAAATTTCGGAATATTATGTTGATAGGATCTTTTCCATTCCACTTTACGGCGGTGGCCGTCCCCATCGTCGCGGAGAACCATTTTCTTCGGGGGCCACCGTACGGTATAATTGACATCGCGTCAGCCCGTAAACCGAGGCTGAAGGAAAAGTAGGGTACCCTCCTCGCGGAAAACAGGTCCTTCACAGGGAGCATCTCCCTCGCTCCGTGTTTCGCCGGGTCTCCAATTTTCCAGCCGGCTTTCTCGTGCGCAGCTAGCACCACCCCGGGGGCCCTGCCAGTCTCCTTTCGCTCCCAGAATCCTCCGGTATTTTCCTTTGCCAGCAAATTGGACTATTACGACGGTGTGTCCTCGCGAAAACCGCGTATTTTCTCTCTTCCTTCCGCCGCCTGCCCCCGCCGGGCTTCTACAGGCTGGAACGTACCCTTTTCCACGTCCCACGACACAGGTCCTCTTACCTAGCGGCTCAAAGTGGCGCGCAGTTGTTAAAACAACCAATTCTGTCGGAAAGCTGCTCGTTACGGACGCCTCTCGTCCTTCCACGGAATCCTTCGTAATCCTGATGGCAAACCGTTCGTTTTCATGCTGACGCAACGGAAACGCTGGCCAATAAAATTCCCGTTTGCTGCGCGGCGACGCGTTCTACCCTCCCTGAACGTTTCGTTTTTAGAATTGATATTTAGTCGTCTTATTTCCGTTGCTTGAAACTTTTGGGTGCTTCTATAATTTCATGGAGATGTTTTATTGTTATATTTTAGCTGTTGTTTCGAGGAAATTCTTAAATTTCTAGATTTGTTCTTAGATTCTTTTATTTGTTCTTAGATCCGTAAATTTGTTTTTAAGTTTCTAGATTTCTTCTCAGATTTCTAGAGATCTTTTGTTATTTTTTTAAATTACCGAACGTAAGATGTTTATTACACTTATTTACCGATTAATCTTGAAAGAGAAGATTATTACTCTTAAAACAACCAGGCATATCGAATCTCAGAACTTTATATCCCAATTCCTTCGTCATGTCTTCGGTTAAAGATGTAAAAAAATGACTAAGGCTCCGAATATTCTGAGAAGGTCTTCCATTATGGCCGATTTATAGAGTTCAATGGACACTAATAGACACGCATCCCCAATGAAATTTGTTCCATAATTGACTGGTGTGCGGGACACAATTCTAAAAGAATTCTAAGGATCCCTGTCCACTCCGATTTAAAATTTGGTAGTGGGCGTGCGCGAGGAGTCAAGTTTCGGGAAGAAGGAAAATCTCCCGTTACCGATTAGCGTCTAAATAGGGGAGGGTGTGGTCGACAGGCCCAATTTCTCGAAATATTTTGACAAGAAACTTAATATCGTCGCCCTGTACTCGGTCGGAAAAACTTGAGACCACGCGAAATTATACACGATTGCTCGTACCTGAGGACTTCTGTCTGGTCGCTTCTATTTTCATCGTTTCCGACAGCAAAATACCATATTCTTTACCGAGAACAAGGTCATTCATTCTTTCTTCAATTTATAACTGTACAATTTTGAATCGTTCCTTTAATTTATTATCATGCAATTTGTAATATTTTTTTATTGTACAATTTTTTAATCACTCGTTAATAATCTGCCCTGGAAAATGTGGTGATTACAGTAACTCCTAACTGGCAATTATAATCGAATTAAAAGTCACATTTTAATAATTAGATTTCACATGCAATTAGGTTACATTTTGTTCAAAAATAGTTGAGAATGAATAACTAGGGCCAAGAGTTCAGGGTACGAATGGGAACAAACACGATGAAACGCCATTAGACGCGAAGGTCATCCACGGTAATCATTTTCAACCTGTCGTCCCTTGTTTCGAGCGACATCGCTTTGCAGGTCGGGCAGCAGTGGCGCTTAATGGCTTGGAAAAATCGAAATCATCGCCGGTATGAATACGTAATCAGTTTTTCTGCTCATCCTTACCCGCATGACGTCATCGCGGGAGATATAACTTCGTGATGACTGACTGGAACGAGCCATGCGAACCGAGTTCACCGTAGTCTTGTGGATTCGCGTTTGAAACTCGTCCAACAACGTTGTACAAACGCTATTGATTTATTTTATGCAGCACTTTGACTTTTGACCAATACTTTTAAAAATTAAACTGTTTGTGATCATTTGAATCACAGTTAATCTATTAACCCTTTGCACTTGAAAACATTTTCCAGTAAATACATTCATTATCTTCTGACGGAATATTAACAATATTATTTGTATTCACATAAAGAAACATCTTGCATAAATTCAGGGGCAGAATTGTTTTATTTTTATGTTTTATGCGCTGACACCATGTTCATCCTTTCATGTTGAATTATATGATTTTGCTATGTTGAATCAAATGGCGACTGAGTGTCGCCTCTCGAGCGCAAAGGATTAAAAGGGGAAAATTCTTAATCACTTCTGAGATGAATAATAAATTTAATATATTCGAGTAAGAACTGAAAATGAAGGCTCGAGGTTTTACATCCTATTTGAAACTGAAAAATTAAACTGTAGAGAAATGGCGAAATTAATCATACGGTAGTGGACTGCGTTAGTTTCTAGTTCGAGTTATTGGAAATAAGTGGAAAATACTATCTGCCCAAATGGAAATCTATTTCCTCTCATCCATGTGGAATCGAGGATAACAGCTTCTCCGGTTTGATGGAGTCGAGGGACATTTTTGTAAAGCGCACGATCGTTCGCGGGAACGGTTGGATCCGCGATAAATATCGGGAGTAGACTGCGTCGACGAACTCGAGCGAAAAGCACATCGTAACCGCTGCACGGTCGTTTGCGCGACTTTATGGATTCGCCCTGTAAAATTGTAAAAAGTGATCTTTCTCTTCGCCGAAAATGGACAGAGCCGAGCACCGAGCTCCGTTTCAAACTGTAGTGAAACTGTTTTATCGTCGTGTATGAACACGGTGCCCTCTGTTCGTCATCTCGTCTCGATAAATTTACAAAATTCTTCAAACAAACGAGTTTCGTATTTCCATGTATGCTAGGTTACATGTTTTGTAATTTGTATTTGTGAAACTATGATTTTTTGTATTCTGTGGTAAGCTTTATGTTTTCCTTACCTGGACTGGGGTTTGAGAACGAACACTTTGTTGACTGAGAGAATCCTGGAACAGAAAATTCGTTTATCAATTGCAAAAGTGTTCAGGAATTTCTTTGCACGTAATTCTTTTTTTCTTATTATGCATTGTAGTACAGTGTACTCCACGATTTGGTTTTTTAGTAAATTGAATCCTCTATAATCATTTATTGAATTCGTTGATCAATATTTTCATTAGAAAAACTTACCTTAAAATCATAATATTAGATAGATAATGAACACTAGAGACAAAAATATATAGGAACATTTCCCACTAATCCATTAGACAAAAACTTTCGATTCATCTTTAAACTTTATTCTAACAATAACGCGTGACTAAAGTAACATTAATCGATCCTGTAGGAACAAGCCACGACCCCAAACCCGTAATTCAGACGGCCAGAAATATTTCAAGCATCGCGCGAAGAACTCCATGGAACGCGAGCGAATATTTCTGTCATTTTCGAGAAGGGTGAGGAAAACATCGCGCTCGCGGAGCCGGCTGAAAAATTTTTAATTGACCACGAAAACAGTGCGCGGTAATGCCCCGCTCGCGAACCCCCAGCGCAAATTGCATTCGCAAATATTCATTGCAATAATTATCCGTCGTTATAACGAATGCAAGCACAGAAAGAAATTGCACGGCGAGGGAAAAAGGAGAAACGTGTATCGCGAAATGGAATTTCATCTAAAAATTAACTAGAATTCACGGGAACGCGCTTCGAAGGGGGTGGCACGCGGGCTGCTGCCTCGGCGCTCGACCCTGATTAACGGCTCCGCGAAATTAACTCGACAATTATTTCATTAGCGCCTAGTAAGACATTTTTCATCCAGTCTCAATGGGCTTTCGGATCTAGAGAGAAAAAGAGGGACAGAGTGGAAGAGAGAGGGATGGGGAAAGTGAGAGAGACACGTGTTCTCACCAGCTATAGCCCGCCCCGAATGCACTACCCTTAATGACTCGACGAGAATTAACTGTAATTTAATTAATTAAAATCTCGCGTAAAAAAAGCGCCGGCTTCTGTCGCTCGCGGGGCTAGACGTGACCCAGGTCACCTCGTTAGAATGATTATCAGGAGAACTCGAAACTATCTTTATACTTCCCGAGTTAATTCCGAATCGATCTTTCCGCGTTCCTCTGTTCATTAATGAATATTTTCCTAAGTAATGTTAATTTTCGACGCTCTTGGAATGTCTCAGTTGTTTTGTCACGGAATTATCGCTGTTATAAATGTGAATGTCGGAGGAGACTTTAACGGAATTTCTGAAATACGAATGTTTCTTTAATTGTATGAATTGGAAGGAAATGTTATGTGCCTCGGAGCAATGAACTTTTCAGTTTTATAATAACCATGAAATTGTAACGAGTATTAGATTACAGAAAACGAATGAATTCACGCGAAGATCCTCTATTCCTCGACAAAGATCACTAATTACAACTTTCTAAACCTTCAATTTCTAATAAAATTCAAATTCAATCGAAATGAAAAGCAAGCTATACAACTACAATAAATGTTACTGTGCAAAGAACAAATAAAACTGCTCCTTTATCCCGATTACAGTGATCCAATACACAAAAACACAAACTCTCGCGAAGATCCTCTATCTTCAGAACAAATGTCGCTAATTAAAACTTTCTCAGCATCCCATCGATACCGCATCCTCGATAACTGCCAAACAAAAACGAAGCTAAACCGGGGCCGTAACGATTCCGTTTCCCATAATTTCCGCGTGGCGGGTGACAAGCCCGCGCGGCATTCATCGCGGGCAACAATGGCGATATTCGTAATTAGAGGCAATTTTGAAAACCAGCCGGGATCCTTGGCGTGCGCAGACGTTCGGTCTCACTCGTTAGCTCCGCGCGCGGATTTAATTGCCCAGCGCGAGCGAGCGCGACGCAACAAATCCGCCCGTTAATCGCGCGACCGGATTCTGAATCCACTTTGTGGACGCGGTTCCCCGGCTGGCTGGCTGGCTGGTTGGCTGGTTAGCTGGTTGGCTGGTTAGCTGACTGGCGTTTACATATTTCTTTCTTTCTTTCCTTTTACTTCGCAACGGTTTCCGCTGAAAAAATCAACGCGACAGCCAGTCAGTCGCACGAACATCCTTTCACGGTAGCTAACCTGAAGATAGCCACGGTAGCTATTAAGACGTTTCATGGAGCAGCCCGTTTTCTAATAAACTCGTTCCAACGTCGTTCGGTCGCGGCGGGGGTTGAAAAACAGGGGTTGGAAAAGATTCCCGCGTTCCTAAGAAAGTTAGGGTCTCGTTCCCGGTCGACGAGGCGATAAAGAGCGGGGACCAGGCGAGGGTGGGAACGCGAACTTCGCGTTTTCCCGGAACGTAGTTCGTAGTCCGGCGTGTAGTCGTAGTCGCGCGAGCTGTCGGCCACCCGGGGGCGGCGGGGCTCCACCCTCAAACGACTTTAACGAGCCGCCGTCTTAAAATGGGGATGCCGAGCTTGCGCCGAGTTTGCGCGTTTGTTTGATAAATTAACCCACAAAAGTACCCTCCAATGTTGGAACAATTAACGAGCCTTAGCTGCGACGCGTACGAATGTGGAGCACTGTCTTTGTCGATATTCTAATACGGATTCGTATCTCCGGAATTCGATTTTTTATTGTTTTTAAATTATAAGTGTTCACGGTGTTCGCGATGCGTTTTGGTTTTAGGTAGTAGATGTTTGTGCTAATGATGTAACTGAGTTAATAAGATAATGGAAATTTTAGGAAAATTTTACGCGTTATCTATGTCGTGAACTTCATTAACATCTTGATAATTTTCAAATTATCGGTTATTCTTTCTAAAAATAAGAAATTGCGTTGCACTTTCTTTACTGCGAGTCTTATTCAATAATTATTTTATTAGAAGGTAATGGATTAAATTCAATTTATTGAATCAAACTTTTCTAAATTCGTATCGTTGCCCGTTCACAAGTTGAATTCCAACCGCTGTTCACTTCAAGCAATACCACGTCGAAAGCACGTGTCACGAGGTATTATGATCCACCGCTGTTCCGTTTTTCCCGGGTTCCGCCCTTCCCGGGAACGTGAAACTTAAACCTCAATCCGCGTCCACGAGTGAAAAGGTTTCAGATTTTTTGAAAACCCGACAATACCGTTCACGGGCCGCGCCGCTGGTGACAAGACATGGGCCTACCATTGAGAAAAATCCACTTCCTAGGTCTCGTGTTACCCGGCGTATTTTGACAAGATCTCATTGTCGTCGCGCGGCTAAGCCCTATTGACTCTATTATGGGCCTATTAGTATTATAGTAGGATTTGTGGTTACTCCTTGAAAGACGTCCTTGCCCCTGTCTCCCTCCTTCGCGGAGCTCTTTCTTGCCCCTCCCGAAACCGAACGCGCTCCGCTGGGCGTTCGTCCATTCACGACAGGCCACGGACGTGTTCCAGGTCCGTTCAACGTGCAATTTCCCCCGGAACGGAGTCGAGTCAGCTCGGGCGTCGATTACACGCTCGTTTCCGCCATTTGTCACCTGGATCGGACCAGTCGAACGGAGACGCGATCCCTCTACCATGAAATCATCCCTTGTGTACAGGAATTGTAGTAAACGTGGAATTGTTGTACTTTTTCAAAGTAATCTGAGGACTTTTGGAAAATTTATTTTATAGCGTTGCTCTAAATAGCTTTGTTAAAGTATACGATTGAGTACTTTTATACTTATCATGATAATATTTCTATTACACCGCCAATACTCGTAAACTAGAGGTTTTAAATGATCAATCGAATAGTTAGAAAATTATCGTGATTTATTAGTACTAAGATATTTATCTGTCCTATCGTCCTTATTTGTACAAGATGGTAATGAAACCACCAATGTCGCGACAATGTCTACACCCCAAATTGAAACAACTAAATTCAATGAAAAAATTCAATTAAAAAACTAAAATCAAGCGGAGTCCAGCTAAACTTCACAATCTTTGAACAATTCACTCGATCGGAGTGTCAGAAAGCTTGCTTAAACCGTCATCCGTCGTTCCAGATAATCTTGTTCCTTCTACCTAGGCAGGTAGAAAAACCAGCAAAGACCATCGACTCTAACAATGATCACGAAACCCATCCCCTAATACTATCCCCAACACAAACTACAAAAAGATAGTCAGTCCCGTCGCCGCGGCGATTTTCCAAGTTAGTCCGAAGTGAGACGGGTAATTAGCCCTCGCGAGAACGGCTGGCTGCGGTTCCCCGTGTGTTGCCGATGCCCCGGGGCCGGGTAACGAGCACTCGGTAATCGGCCCCGGTGACTCGGCGACAAATAATTACCGGCGTAAATAGCAAAAAGGAAGAGTTCCAACGGCGGCTGATGAAAAGAGCGGGTCGACGGCAGGATATAAAAACAAAAAATAAACTCTATCCCGGGATCGGTGTCGCTGTGGCACGTACACGTACACGCACATGTACGCGTACTCGACACAGTGTACATACGCGGGAGACGGTGGTAGAACGACGTCCGTGGCACAGACACGCAGCTACCGCGGAGGAGCGGGCATGCACGCACGCACTCGTGGCTTCGAAGAGCTCTGGCCACGAGGAGAAGCTACCGCCTTCTCTCGTTTTCCAAGTCGCGAGAGCAAGCATCGCGGAATGAGCTGCTACTTAGAGAGAACGGGTGGAAACGCATTCACCGGCACGCAATCAAGGCTCCTCGTGGCTGCCTGGCCGCTCTATACGTGTTCGCACGTACACCGGTGTGCCGTACACGCGCGCAACAGACCCGCCCGCGAATGTGTACGTGCGTGTACGTGCACACGTGTGAACCCGCGCGTTCCCGTGGCCATTCATACACGAGCGCCGGGCAAGATTTTGCCTCGCGACACCTCTCTAAGCGCGAGAAAGCAAGAAAGATCGGCGCGCGGGACCGCGCGAGCGAGAAGGTGAAAGTACGGGGTGACGCCGACACCGACGTCAAGCCGACATACAGGGTGAGAGAAGAGCAAGAAAGCCGGGGCGTGTTGACGTCGAAGAGAGAGAGAGAGGGAGAGTGAGGAATGGAGAAGGAGAAAGATC